ACCACAATCCAGGTCCCTCAATCCCTAGCTTTTTGTGTATACCTGCAGATACCTGTAAGCCTGCCAGTGATACAAGGATGGATCAAACTAATAACAGGATATATATGAGAGACTGAACCCGCTCTTCTTGGAGCTGGACCATAAACAAAACTACTGCAGTCCAAGTGATAAGCTTCCCTTCTAATGAACGTTTAGTTGCTGCCAGTTTCTGTAGCAGTTTCCAAAATACCACAACACTGACCATTGCCATCAATTAAATTCAATGCAAACAGCCTATGCTTCAGGCATTGCCCTAGGTCTGTGCAGCTATAAATCATCTGTCCACAACAGCAAGAGAGACAATCAGCAAAGAACAGAAACAAAGGATCTCTCCTGCCAGGGTCACCACTGCAGTGTCTGAGAAACACTGGAAACCCAAGCCAAGGCATCTGCAAGCCCTTGTGCATCCTGCTTTCCTGGTTTGTTTCTTTTCTGAATTTATATGCACGATGAAACAAATCCCTCCCCAAGCCACCAGTCCTTCCTAGAGACCACAAATGCCTAAATGCTCTAGAAAACATATCCAAGTGATAACAAGATCCAATTACAGTGGGGATATTAAAAGAGCCATGTGACTTCTTACCAGCAGATAGAAAAATAACCTTTTCTTACCTCCATACATCTGAGACAGGATAGCAGACTTGAGAGCTCTACCAGGAGCCCGAGTATTTTGGAGATTTCCATCCCTCGTGTAAAAAGTGAGCAGAAGGTTCTTCAAGCATCACATTCTCGTTCAGCTGCCAGGGTCTGCTTTCCCACATTAGCCACTCCCCCCCGGAGGGAGTGGGGTGACTTTTCCATTTCTGTGCAGGGAAAGGGATGTAAGGAGAGGGATTAAAGCTCCCAGCAGCATCTTAGAATTTCACTTTCCCGTTCCTCTTCCCATCTCTTCTTCTTGATTCTTCTCTTCAGAAAGGGGAAGAAGAGAGAAGAGGAGAACAGAACATGCCCCCGAATTTCTCTAGCACATTCGAAGACGGGCGGAGGCTAGCACAAGCGGTGGGGCAGAGCCCTCAGCCCGCTCCTCACCCCGCTGTCCCCTCCTCTCCGCC